CTCCCCGCCGGGCCCGGGCCGAGGACTACCCTGCGGGGTCGGCGGACGGTTTTCTCTGTGGGTTTTTTGTTTTCCCCGTTTCTTTTAACTTTCTTTGTGTTTCTGGCACTGTTCTGAGGGCAGAGCTCCTCCGGACAGGACTGCCTCCTTGATTATCGCCTGGCTTCAGAGCGCGGTGCGCCTCTGAGGCGGAGGTACCCGCCCGTCGGTCGCGGGTTCCTGTCGCCTCCCTACTCTGAGGGCTCGGTGGGATGGATGCTTTAATTCATCGTTTCGGGATGATAAGGCCGGGCCTGTGAAAGATGCGATTCAGCTGATCTGCAGGTCTCATACCCCAACCAGGTCACGTCCCTTGACACCTCATAATTGAATGGAAAGTCTCTTGATTATCTGAAATCCCAATTGTAATTATCCAGGTGGCTTGCTTGAACAGATAAAGGCATACCTAAATTTAATGAACCTTGCATTAGTATACCCCTCTATGTATTTTCTATGTTTTGCTTTCCATCTTTGTCCTGGTTTTGGCTCTGAGTGGGTTGGGAGGGCTGCCTGATTTTTCAGTGGTTTCATCAACCAGGCTTAGACACCGTGGAGTAGGGGTCTCTCATTTTTAAGGTGCCCCTGAGTGTTAATGGGGGGTGAAAGGGGACCAATTTTATATCCCTTGGTTTAAATTTTTTCCACTCAGGTTCTGAACTTTGATTTGAAAACTTGGGGAGTTCACACAGCAAGGAAGGTTGTAGACTACTAGCATATCTTAATCCCTGGACTCTGAAATAGAGCAAGCTCTAGAGTGAAGCTCCTGGAAATCATCATCCACATGTTAGTATCTATTCTGAATGTCAGTTCAGGGTCTGAGCCCCCTTCCTTTACACTGTTGTCAATTGAACCATTAGAGCTGCACGCTAGGAAAAATAGAGCATTTTCTTGCCTGAGTTACTCCATGTTGCTTTTGAACTTTCTTTATACAGGCAAAGTATATGCTGTCAGAGCTGCCTGTGCAGCTCTGCCAGTGTGAGCGTGTCACACAGGGCATCCTAGCAAAACTGAAATGTTGAAAGCGTAACATGTATTGCATGTGGAATGCAGAAGGTAAAGGCAGAGGCAGTTGTAGTAAGATCTATTTGTATTAGGAGTGTCTGGTGACAGTGTTTGTTACAGGCTTGTCCTTTGTTTGGCAGTGAATCCTCCGTGCTGGTAGCACAGACAGTTGTGGTATGCAAAGCCCTGATCAGAAGTATGCGTTTGACAGGTAGACTTTGCTCTTTGGTAGGCTGAGGAGCCAGCTCTTGAGTTGCTCTGTGGGCAGTGGTTGATAACAGGTGTTCCTAAAAATGGTTGGAGACCTAAGCACCGTGTGTCGCCACAGGTGTTTGGAGAAGGGTGGATGTGTAAATAACATAGGTGATATGTTGGATATAGCCAGACTGTGTGTTACTCTTTTCCATGGAAAGAAAAATCGCATCTGAAGTGCTCTCAACATGTTCTCCTGTCCAGTAATGAGGCAGCAGTACTACACTTCATGGCTATGATACACAGTAGCTAATAGCTGTTAAATTAATTCCTTGGAGCTTTGGGACTGGGAGGAGGTGTTGAATATGACACTTAATTGTGAAGTAAGACCTTATGTTCCTGAGTAGCAAATACTGCACCATTTTCTCTCTATTGCTATCACACAACTGCAGTTGTCTTAACTGAAAGTAAAACACATATCAGATGATCTTATAAGGAGAAATTGCAGTACCAACTCTCCAAGTGCTAAGTAATCATGAAGTAGGCCTCTGAAAATTCTGCTGTTAGCAAAGTTTTGGTAATAATGCATTTTGAACTGCTGTTGTCTGCCATCTGCTTTTGCGCCTTCAGGCTGTGCTTTCAAGCTTCTGTCTGTAATCATAAAAGGTGGAAACTTTTTGTTTTGTTACCTTAACAAAAGCTGTGATTCTCTTATAATTTCTTTTCTCCAACAACTGGCCTTTGGTTACAGCACCAGTATCATAAGGCCCTTGGTATAATCATCAGAGAGCCACTACGTTTCTCAGTGTTTTGGTGCAACTAGAAGAAGATTAGTCACTTCTGCTTTCTTGAGAGCAACTGTTGAAAATAGCTTTTTTTTTAACATTTGAATGATATGCCTTTCATATCTTGAATAATTTCTGTGGTTGACTTCAGACTGTGTTGTATGCCTCACTTTATTGATCAGAGACGAAGTTGAAGTCCTAGTATGTTTTTGATCAATATATATTGGCATATGACAGCACGTTTATCAACTAGGACTAATGACATATATATATATATATATATATATGAAGGAAAGCCTCTGAAGGGCTAAATGAATAATTACACTTATCCCCATGGACCTTTGTGTTCCAAGACATCAGGGTTTGCTCTCTAATTTCTGCTTTCTCTCCAAATTTGAGAAGCTATAAAAAGTGCTTTGAAGTCTGAATCACCTACTTTTCATGTTACATTTACGTTTAGAGGTGGACATCTTGCCTTTTGCTTTTGCTATTGTTTTGAGCTTCTAGGAGGTCTTAAACATATTGCAGTAGAGGTTTGTTGGTTTGGAGTAGCTGAGTAGCTGAATGTAGCTCAGTAGCTGAATGATGTATGGTGTTTCTTGTTTTGAGTCGGTATGCAGTATTAAGCTGTTGCTGTGCTTCATCCCAGAGGTGATGTGTGCTTCAGTGATGGGTAAAATTAACCCTGTAGGTGCTTTATAAGGTATCTAGGGATCCTTTGGATTGCAAGAATGAAAGTATTACTGAGGTGAGGGTTGTGGAAGTCTCTAAAGTAGTTAAGGAAGAAATTAATTTCTCTATGCCCTCTTCAAAAGTGTTATTCTGCCACTGAAGTGAGTATGGGAAACTAGCTTTTTCAGGTTCCTTACTCATTATGTCTTCAAATAATTTCCATTTTAAATTTATGGAGGTTTTTTCTCTTTCTTTTTATAGAACTAATCTAGATTATAGTCCAATAAGCTTCTTTTCATCTTGATAACTACTACGAGTAATGAGAGATTCTGCAGATATAATTATGCCCTCTCTTAGAGCTCAGCAATTGTCGTGAGCTGCTTTCCTTGTTGCACCAAAACTCCTTGTTGCTTTCTAAGTGGATGAGAAAAGCCAGTTCAGCCTGGCAGGAGGTGTCTGCTCCAAAAAGGGCCTACCTTGTCTTTACTGAGCTAGATAGGACCATACGTTTCCAGAGCAGATTTCCTCTGCCACCATCTTGACTCTTCTTCCTCCTATTCTCTGCCGTTGCTTTCTAAGTGGATGAGAAAAGCCAGTTCAGCCTGGCAGGAGGTGTCTGCTCCAAAAAGGGCCTACCTTGTCTTTACTGAGCTAGATAGGACCATACGTTTCCAGAGCAGATTTCCTCTGCCACCATCTTGACTCTTCTTCCTCCTTATTCTAAGCAAACAATGCAATCTAAGCAAATTGCCTCCCATGTAATACCTGCGTGGCCCCTATTAGACAGCAGTGTGTTTGCTGGGGTGGCACTCAGCATACACTGAGAACGTTGATGGCTGCACACGTATAACTGTATTGACCTATTTTCACCTTCATTGATGATGAAGGTAAAAGAAGAAGGAAATTTCAGTTTGAGTATTAAATCCCAGGATTTGTAAAGCTGGCAGGGGAGGAACCCTGACCTCCTTTGTAGGTAGGATGAAGGGTAGTATGGAGATCAGTCAGAATATCAGATACACTACCCCAACAATGAAGGGTAGTATGGAGATCAGTCAGAAGTGAAGGAGATGAAGCCCCATAGTGCCAGTTTTTGTTATCACTGCCCATATTTGTGTCTCGATTATTGCTCTGGGCTCCAGTTGTTTTCTGCTGTTCTTGTCTTTTTACTTTCTGCTTTGCTGTTCTTTCTAATGACATCTTTGTTGTGCACATTTTAAAATACTGCTCCTCAATTCTGTTGCCGTGTTATGCAATGCCAATTTTCTTTTCCTTTCTTTATTACCTCTTCAGGATTAATTTTAAATACCAGTTTTTTTTTCATTTGGTTGGTTGTTTCTAAGAGGAATGATCCTGGAAGTTTTCCATTCCATTTCTTCCTCTGCACTCTATCTGTAGACAGTGTAAAAACTAAGAAAGAGAGAAAATATGTAGCAGGCTGTTTCTTGGATCATGGAATGTGCCTGGGGTAAGGGACATGTGGACAAGATCGATACTTTTATTAGCCAAAATACTGTTATTTTTAAAGAAACACCAAAGTTGCTTTTCATTATATAGTTATCATCTCTAATGCTTAAAAGTATGTAGTGCTTTTTGATCTGAATACTGCCTAAAGGAACATAGCAGTCTGCATTCCGGTTTGTAAGGGTTGTCACTGCAAGTAAGGACAAGGGTGGGGGGGGAAGTTAGGCCTGTATAAGAAGAAAGTCCTATTTAAATAATCTACCCGCTGCTTGTGTGACATCTGTGAAGGGAAAAAAAACCCCACTGATACCCAAAACTTTTAGAAGAACATATCAATGGATGCTTTCACAGCATGTGTTATGACTAGCAGGTGGTATAACATTTTAATTTTGTTTATGAAGGTTTGCATTAATTCATAGACACGTGCATACTCCCTACATTTTAAAACAAATCTCTCTGTATGATCAAAACCTCAGTTATTCAGTGTTTTGATTTGTGGCACTTCAAAAAGTAGTGTTGCAAATAATCTTGCAAATAAATCTGATGTGAACTTTATGCTTGCCAAATACTTTGTTTTAGTTGGATGTCTATTGCAAGGTGCTTCCTGAAAATCCCATAAGAAATGTAAGAAATTTGACTTGTACACTTCAGCCTTATTTAAAATAAAGAAAAATGGTGTTTCCCAAAGGGGAAATAAGCATGTAGAGGAAAGGTATGGTTTTAAGAGAATTCTCCAAGCTATGAAAAGAACGGGAATGAACTTGAACACTCAAGGGTGTGCACCTTCTTGGCCTATAGTAGGATGACAAGGGAAAACTGTCCTTTTCCATTTGAAGCTAAAAATGGTATCTCTGCTGGAGTTTGGTAATTCACTTGCTTTTTTTTTTTTCTTCACTGATTCTTTTTCTTTTATAATTATTCCTTAGGGTGAAAAATTTGGCCCCTTTGCAGGGGAGAAGCGAATGCCGCAGGAACTGGATGAGAACACAGACTGCAGGCTCATGTGGGAAGTGAGTAGTCTAGAGTGACAGCATCACAGCTAGCAAAAGGTGTTCTCAGAATCAAGTTTTTACTGTAACAAATCCTCCCCCTCCCAGCTTAAAGATACTGTAGTGAGATTTTGTACTTATTGATGCTTTTAAAGTATGCTTTTTGGGTGGAGGGGGATTGACTTCTTTAAAACGATAAAGAAATAGCAAATGATAGTTTCTAATCAAAGAAGTGTGAAAAATATCAAGTCAAGCAAAACATAAAAATATAACAACATTGTGAAAAATAATCTCTTTATTTTCACATTTTTCAATAAGAGTAATTTGAATATGGGAAGATGATTGTAAGTTACTGAGATACTGATTTATGCTGATCAACAGGTGTCAGCTCATAGCTTCCTCCAACTGTAATATAAAACATTTCCTGCTGTGACACTTGTGCTAGGGTTTGGCAACTGTACGGTAAGTGAAGTTTTTAAATTTTAGCAACTTTGTAATGCAATGTGTAGTTGTGACGTCTTTAGCAAAATAAAAACCTGGTGCTGTTGGCAGATGAAGGCATAATGAGTTTCAGGGCTCTTCTAAACTTTTCTTATGTGTATTAGGCAGCAACAGTAGTTTATACACTAGATCTTGTAATTAGGTTCTTAACCCATCCTAGTTCCTGTCATAGCTGTGTTTGCCTGTAGTAAAAATCTGTCTGAGTTTACCAGTTGGGGAGATTACAATAACTGAAAAATACTTTCAGTAACAACATTTCCAACTTGTTTTAAACACCTGCTTTTCGGTGCTTCTTTTCCGTCTTTGTAATCTTTCTTTTCTGCTGTAGTTCTTTAAGCAGAATTCCCTTCCTTTTTTCCTGCCCCTGCCCTCCTTCCCCCCCCCCCGCCAAAAAGTTTCTATTAAATGCATATTTAGTCCTGTTTTACACTGAGGAGGGGACTCATTTCCTACTTTTTCACCTTTCTGTGGTTAGAGGTGGAAGGATGACTGTTATTTTTATGTTGTGTGGCACTGCACAGAAAAGGCTTACGTTTGACGTCTGGCTTAAAGCACTGTCTGTGCATTTATTACAAAATAAATATTTGTTTGAAAAAAAACCTCTAGCATTAACATCGCTGAGTGGCTTATAAAGAGAGCGTAGTATTGATATGGTCTTAACAGAGCTATAAATAGATTCTACACACTGGAACAATGAGTGAGAGAATGCTAAACCCGAACTCAATGTAAGTACAGTGAGTGGCAAAATATTCCTAGAGGAGTGTTAACTCAGGTCTGTGAATCCCTGTGGCTTTGTTTTCCGCCTTCCCCTTTTCTTTCTTTTTTTTTCTCTTTCTTTTTTAATCTAGAGATTTGCCCAAAATATCCTTTCCCAGAGAGGTGTGGACAATTCGTTCCCCTGTCTCCTTTCGTTATGTACTCAGAGCAACTGGTTTAATCTTCTTTGTTCTCAGCTGAAAACAAAACAATACAATGTGCTTTTATTACAGATGCTTGCTGAATACACTACATGTTAATGTGCCCTGGCTCACTTGCCTTTTCATGATGTTTGTGCAGGTTATTTTAACTCAATAAAATACTTGAGCTAGAACAAGGTTTTCGGAAGGGATGGTGGGGGGATTATAGCAACGAGAAGGTCTTTAAGTTTGTTGGAAAGCCATATGATTTTCCAGATGCCTCATTGCTGACGATTAAATGAGATTTATCTGTTTCTGTAGGACAGAAAATAAAAGGCACATACATGCATTTGCTGATGACACTAATATGACCCCATCGATAGCAAATCAGAAAATGAGTTTTTTATGAGCTGTTCTAAAACCATTTCATAATATCTTCTTGTAACCTAGTTTTGAGAGCCTTGAAAAGATTCCTGCATACCAAATTTTATGACTTCCTGAATGTTTGAACCCAAGTTGTTCATGTTTACTGAAGTTGATCTGAATGTGAGCTTTATAATATAATTTAAATCATGCTGAGAGTAGTCTTAAGTTGAAAATAGAGGCCAGGAATGCAGAAAGTAAAAAGTTGAACAGTCCAAGTAGATGGTTATTCCAGAGACTGTGGGAGGCAGTCATAGCAACTAGCCAAGTTTGCGCGTAGTCAGCTGTACCAAAGATATTAAAAATAATTAATTTGAAGACTATTGGATAAAGGCACACTAAAGCCTGACTTCACAGTCTGATGGCAGTCAAAAAAATGCGTTTTCTGAGAGGACACCTTTGGAAAGAAGGCTAAGTAGTAGAGACTTTTTATAAGTCAAGTAAAAATGAACATAAGTGGAACATTTCTTTTCTTGGTATGTGATGCCTGGGATCTGAGCTTCAATTTTGTGGAATAGTTTTCTGTGAGGAAGTTTACCACACACATTTCTAGTTGTGTAGAGTGTGGTCTGTGATGTGGTCTGTTTTGATCAAGCTATTCCTTTTTCTCTGAGATCAGCATTGTGAGTTGGCATCTTTAAGATGTCACATTGAGACAGAATTGTACACATTCTGTTTTCTTTTGGTCTTTGGGAAAACATGGAACCCAAAAGAATTTATTGGGTCCAGTGATTTTGTTAAATAAAGTTCTGAGGATATTAGAGTTTGTGTTTAAATTAAATATAGCAGAATGCTATTAGTCTGCCTGTAACTTGCATAGTTTTGAAGAAGTCAAAGGTTTACACTTGCTCATTCAACACATTCCAGAGGATTGGGGTGGTGGTGGGGGGAAGCATCCTTGATCTTGCTGTTATCTTTGTGAAGAGCTACATGCTGAAATGTTTTATTTACAACTAATGCGAAGGGGGAAAAAGCCAAAACCTGTGGTAACCATATAGTTAGGGGTAATAATAAAAAGCCAAGAAAATGTCCAGATGGCTTTGTGCTTTTTCTTTCTTTCTGTAAAAAACCCACCTCCCCGTTATCCTCCAACCCCCATGTCATTATCTCTCAGACTGAATTGTGTGTTGTGCTAGTTAAGTATGCAGCTAGTTGCTGGTGATGAATTGAGGGTTTTGTTCTTATTCTTAGCGTCCCACTAACACCTTGATTGTGTGGTGGGATGTGGTGGGATTGTGACACTGCTTCATTGGTCTGTATTAGTATACTTGGCATAGCAATTTTAAATTATGTGTATTTGCTGGAAGAGCAAGTCCTTTAAGGCAAGAACAGAATAATCTTTAGGTATTAAAGTTCACAGAAGTTTTTGCCTCTGGAGGCTCAGATGTCGCTTTGCAAAGGGAAGATATCTGTTCAGTTTATTTTCCTTATTGTCCCTAACCAAGAAAGTGGCATTTGTTTCACTACTATTGGATTGTGGCAAGCATATACTTCTGGTGATGACTTTGGCAAATGTTAAAACAGGGAGGGCTGGAAAGACTTAGTCCTTCTTCAAATACTCTGACATACCGTGAAGAAATGTTGGTCAGGATTGGATGGCACATAATACGCTGTGTAATGCTGAATGTTACATATTTCAGGTTTGGTTTCTATCTATCTGCCAAGATTATGTTTTCTTCATTGTTATGTTAAAACAGAGAAGAACAGAAACATCGTGGAAATCAGTCTTTCAATGGAAGTTAATGTTCATGTTTATTTATATGAGAAAATGAAATGAACTTATGTTTCTACTACTTAACTCTCATTACTTCTGCAGTGACAATTGTTTTCAGTTAAATAAGCCTGCCTGAAAACTAGTGAAGGCAATAGAAAATCTGCTGTTGGCTACAACAGCTTTAGATCAGAGCTTTAATGTTTAGGGTTGAGGTATGAGAAGTCAAGCACTTTAAGCTAATGGTGGTGTGTTTTTTGTTGGGTTTTTTCTTTTTTTTCCCTTTGATATCTTGCCCGTAAAATGTGGTTCTGGCATAGGAAGGCTTTTACATACAAGGCATTAAGTTGAATTATGTCCTGAGTTTCATGATAAAATAAATCTTAATTTGAAGAATTCTGTGTTTGCTCTCAAGATGAACGTAATATTAGAAATCTAGTTCTTAGCAATGTAGTCTTTGTTTTTTCTGTATGAAGACTACCTTCCCAGTCATTACTCCTCAGATAGAATTTACATTTAAAATTGTTTGCTTTTAATGTTTTTGTGTGAATCTTTGTTTAATTTTCAGAAATGTTTTTGTTTTTCTCATTTCTTAGACAAATGCATCTGGATGCATTTTTACGCAAGTTGCATTTAAAATGACTTTTACCACACGTAACAGACATTGATGCCCTATCTCAGTTGCAAGTTTGTGTCCTAGATTTTCAATTTTGTTGAATTAATCCCCACTGGGATAGATAGCTGTCCAAAGTAGTTATTAATATTCTTACCAGTTTGTTTATTTAGCTAAATTTCATTAATCAACTCTTTTAAAGCTTGATTTAGTCATCTTTATTCATGTTAAGTGTATGACTTTGTTTTAATTTTAGTGACTTTTGGAACAGGCACCTTAATGATCATCTGGTTTTGGTGATGAGAAGAGTCCACTCCTAAAAGTGACTAAGAATGTTAACCTCACATCTTCAGTTACATGATTTATTTAAGATATTAGAAAGTATTAAGGTGTTGATATGTTGAGGTGCTAGTATTCTAATCTGAACTTGTTATAGAAGATCACACACAATTTGTTTAAGGATTTGGGTAGCCTTCCAGTGAACGTGAAGTTCAACCCTTCTTATGGAAGCTCCACAAAATGTTAGCAGAAGTCTAGGAATGAGCTTTCTGAATCATTCTGTCTCTGACAAGGTCAAATAACGTCATGCAGCAGCAGGAGCTTCATTAACGTGAAAAAACGTTTTTCTGTATTTTGGCTGAAGAAAAATGTAACATGCTGCCTATGTCCCAGTACTTCATAGCGAGTAAGCAAATCAACAATGGCTGCCTCAGGTTTCCTTTGCAAGTGTTATTTTAATACTTTCTACAGCAATGTTAAAATGTGTGTTTCTACTCTGCAGTGAGCTCTGTGATGGAGGCTGAAACTGAAGATGCGGAAGTATTGCATCTAGCTGTTTTATACTATTAACAATAAAAATCATGTTTTCAGCTAATCA